TTATCCCACTAGGCCCAATGCAATGCGCCATCCATATCTCCTGGCGAAGCGTCCCGCTCCCCTTATGAATCTTCTCCAGCGACTTCTTGTGATCCGGTTCAGCTAAATCAAGGAGACTCATTAATTCGACCAGGATATTCCATTCAGGCCATCTCCTAAAACCTCTACAGAGTTTGCAACCACAGGCCATGTATCTAAACCGGTCCTTCTCAACCTTGGCACCTCTAAGATGGTGGACTTCGACTCCCACAAATCCCCAGCCACGGCATGCTGGTTGTGGAATTCTGGGAGTTGAAGTCCACCCATCTGAAAGGTGCCTAGTTTGAAAAACACGGATCTCAACTCAATCAGACTAATACATACTTATATAAATTATATAATTTCTGTATTATTATTACATTATATAATTTATATATATATATATATATATATCATATTATTACATTCTATAATTATATATTTCTATCAGTTCTATGCATCTAATTGAATCAAATCCAGCACACCACCTTGGATAACTAGGAAAACGGGTATTTCAGAGAGAAACACGCTTGTAAAGTAAATAATATTTACAGCTGACCCAAACAGACCAATTACAGAATTCGAAACCGGGCTGGTTTCTCCTAGCACCTCGTCCCGAATAAGCCGCCGGTGGCAGGCTCTGCGCCGCCCCTCGAGCCCTTGATCCTGGTTTGCCCAGCCCGGGCCTGGACCGACAGCGCCGTGTTGCTTCGCGGAACACAGGACGGCTTAGCGTGTGGCTCTGCGGGGTCCGGCCAGGATAAGGACACGTGGTGAACTGTCCCCAGAGGAGCCCCGGAGAGATGCCAGCGGGGTGGAGCTCAGCTGCACCGTTCTCCGGGGGATATAAGGCTCTGCTACTCTAAGGGAAGGAATAATTCGTTCTCCGGACTGCTAACGCATGAGGATGCCATCGGGGCAAGGGCTGGGAGTGAGCGCGGGTCGAGATCTGGAACCGGCGGCTGCCGCAGTTGGAAGGGAGCAGGGAGGCCATCAAGACCACCCCGGCTTAATGCCGGCATCCACAGGGGAGCGCCCCAGAAGATGGCTGCCGAGCCTCGCCTTGACCCCCCCAACCCAGGGGAGCCCTCCCCCCGGGTTAGGGTTTCCGGTGCCGGACCC